CTACCTGTATGTCAAGTTTCAGCGAAATCGCCCCTGTAATTTCAGAGTAATTGTAATCGGAACAAATTTGACACCTCGTATTGTTGCATTTTGCACGTGCAGTGGGGATGGCCCACATGCATCAAGAGTATCTGGTGTTCGGTAGAAGGGATTCAACTACCGTACAAAAATTACCGCAAGTCAATCACCGAAGCAGTTACTGAGACATAGACCTCGCCAAAAGCGCTAATTCTGTAGAGCTGCTTGAATACCCTTGACTTTTCACGTGGCACGTGCCACGACGGTCACTGAGATGTATCAAAAGTAGTCAATTACGGGGTAGAAGGGATGGGGCTACCCAGCAAAAAAGACCGCATGTCAGTCGGCCCAGCGGTTGCTGAGTTTTATATGAGCCTCTGAAAAGCGTTACTGCAGGCCGGGTCAGGCCGCTCATACTGCGATTTTTCCGTTATATTGAAAAGACTTCGCTTCGCTCGCTCGCTCGTACATAATTAGAGCCTAGAGTTTGTTTCAAAATTTGTCTTTTGAGTCAAGGCTTTGAATTGCCTAGCCAAAGCTATTCCGAGTCCGAAATTTGAATGGTTTAATTACTGCCAAAGGCCCTGTTTGTTTCGCAGGTTCCTTTGATCCTTTTGAGTCTCCTTTGTAGCGCGGGTGGCTTCACATTTAATGCTGGAACTGTTATCGTGCCACTCACTGAACCGCCTGACACACTAATGAAGTACATTCTCAGAGGGATTTAATTAATTAACCGCGCGGTAGTTAGCAGTCAGCCCTGCCCCGGGCGCGATCATCATTTATATCGGCCGCCGGGTGTTGACTGGGCGAAGCTCTGCGCTCCGCCCGTCCCGTCCGTCTCCATTGGTCTGTGTGACACAGCAGCAGCGAGCGGTCGCAGAAGACAGCTGACGCGGCACGTTCAGCGGTCCGCGACGAGGGTGAGTGGTCTGCAGGTACTACCCAATAGGACGGCGCTGAAAGGGCGCTGTCAGCGGGCACACACACTGCACGGCCAGTCCACAGGAAAAGCCGCGATGGATGAGAAAGGATAAAGCTTTTAGCGGAGCTGGCAAGGTTATTCGATTATCCTGTGCACTGTGTACGATTATGTCATACCATTTGCTACTAAGGCATCCACAAACTCACTAATGCAGTTGAAACCCGGCTTAGTATCAGCCGTTTTCACGACGGCCATCTGATACAATTTTGGTGCATATTAGATGCAGATTTGGTGTAGATTTGGTCAAATTAGGTTCGTTATATATCTTAACCCTCGCCGGACCTGCTGGTTTTCTACATACGCACCGGCCGAGGGGGGGGGGGGGTACGACTCCCTCGCCGTTTCGCCCCTGATGGAGCTAGAGCGTCGCGGAAGAAACGAGCGTGTGCGCCGTTACGAGACAGCGGCGACTGGTACCAGATTTTAAGGTCTCAGGTCAACCGGTGACCTCTGAGGTAAGGTTAAGTGGCCCAATTGGAACGGGTTCGGTTTTTGGTAAATAACTTCGCAAAAAACAGCCGCAGAGCCGCGATTTTGGCATTGTCGTGTTCGCTTTGCTTCGGCGCGTCGAATGCTATACTTTTTGTTTGGGTAAGGTTAACTTGAGGTGTTGACCTCGGGTCACAGACAGGTTAGAGCCCCCCCCCCCCCAGGTCAAGAGGCTGGTCGAAGGGGGTTGTGTTGCATATCATTCAATTCGGAAGGTCTTCCCGAGTCCATTGGTGGCTTTCCCGACTCGCTAGCTTAATTTGATCAGGATTTATTGACGAAAAACTCTTATGACCCCATGGTGACGTCAGGTCAACAATGCAAAAGTGAAGCATCGAAAGTTGCAAGGAGTGCATAAAATCACGATGCTGTAAGGTCGAGATAGTTTGAGATCGTTCCCGGCGCCAAAATAGCAGTTCTAATTTCTTCCCATTGACTTATAATGGTGACCGACCTGACCTCATGTTACCTTTAGAAAAAACCCGAGATACACAAATTGTGAGACCTCTGATGGTTCCTGGCGCCCCCCCCCCCCCCTGCCTCGGCCGTCGAGGGTTAAAAGTTCTCAGATTGGGTTGCACAGATCCTTATAGACCTCAGTTCCAAATAATCTGACAATATTTTTGATGGAAACACCGAAATAAATTCATGATATGGAGATCTTTATTTTAAAAGACATTTGGTGCAGATTTGATCAAATTATGTGGGTGCATTCCTCAGAAAGCCCGTGTGAAAACTGTTATTGTGTCCAAGTGCCAACATGAAGGAATTGTGATTTCTCTAAATTGGATAACGTTTTAGCGCAGTGCTGATGGATGTGTGACCTTTGTTTGTTTCGTTAGGACTTTTCAGTCATTTTGGGCCATTTCAGGTTGAGAGGATAAGCATTGGACATTAGCGCGATGCGATCAGCGGCTGACGCTTCTCGGCTGAGGCTGAGCCCGGCTTAGTGCCGGTGTAGCGGCTAAGCCCGTCCCTCGGACCACGGCTCTCCTGGTGGGACGGGCCACCCGACCACTCAGAGGGTCACCCTGGCCGTGGGCCCATTGTTGGAGAGGATCCACTCACAGGGAAAACCTCTAAAAAGAAAAATGTTGCCATCGACAGCTTCAAAAGAATAAAGTAACAGGAATTATATCATTACCGAAAGCAAACAAAGCGCACTGGAGGAGAGTAGCATGCAATATTATACAATTGGTAATTAGTGAACTGTGATAGTTAATCCACTGCCATGTCGTCAGATTAATTTCCATTCTGTCGCCAATCAGCGAGAGTTAATTAGTTTCTGCCGGCCCTCACAGCGCTCTCGACACATCTCCTGCGCGGGCTGGGAGCTCCTCAGTTCGCGCTATATTGAAATGTATTCCTCGACTCCGTCTGGCCGTATGAAGTTGGAGTTCAAAGGGTCGCAGATTGGAGCCCCGGCTGCCCTCTACGAGGCGCTGATGAAGGCACGATGGTCCGCCAGCCAGAGCGAAATGTCCAAATGAGATGTCATTATGTGGGGGAACACGTAATCTTGAGTGGTGCTCCACAAATATACCTGTAAATCTCCGCAAACGCCCTCCAGATAGGAAGCTTAATTATAGAAGGTTGCTGAGATGGAATATTAATTAGCTGAGGAAAGAAAACATGTGATCAAATCAAAACAAAAATAAAAATAAATGCAAGAACGAAGCTTGGGGATAGCCATGTAAGAAATAAACATCGCAGAATAAGCTGAAGTGATACGATAGGTGCATCATACTGTCACATGACTACCGTGGAAGATAAAACATAATTTACGGTGCCACTAATCATTGGATCGACCTGAACAGATTACCTGCTCACTGCTGACTGCCATGACAATCAGGATTCAATATTTTAGTGGTTTTGCAAATTTTTGGCCTTAAGATACAACGGAATAGCCAAAACAGCCCGACATGATTTCAGACTGCATGAGCTGGTTCACCGATGATGCATCAAAACGGGCAATGTAAAACGGAATATAAATAATTGATGAAGTTGAGCAATGAGCAGCATTGCGGTAACCTCGTACACATCTTCCCTCGTCCCAGTTCTGTTATAAGAACAAAATTTCTCTGCTCCAGGAGACATTAATTCCGATTTGCCGCGGTTGGCTCTCGGACTGTCCAGCCACCCGTTCGCTGAACGTCAGATTATCGAGCTGGCATTCAGACAGGGCGGCTGAACTTCAAAACATGGTCTCTTCCGAATGTATTCTTATGTTATTGGACATTTCGGATTATTTTTGATTATTGGATCGATTTTTACATTGCCAGTAACACGAATCAACCATTTACAATGCTAGCTATGACAGTAATGACTGTGATTTTATGTAGGGGTCGAGCATGCATGATGCAGCGTCGATGATGCCTGGATCGATAATTGGGTCGGAACAGCTGACGGCAGGGTGAGTCAGATCAACCTCACGCTCGCCTGACACTGACTCAGTATATTCAATCAGAATTCATGCTCAGTACTCGGTACTCAGACTCGGTACTTGTTACTCATACTCAGACTCGGTAATCGGTACTCAGTACTCATACTCGGTACTCGGTACTCAGATTCGTTACCAAGCACTCTTACTCGGTACTCATACTCAGTGCGTAGACTCGGTACTCAGTACTCGGTACTCAGTACTCTGTGCTTAACTGCTTAGTACCAACTCAGACTTGGTACTCAGTACTCAGACTCGGTACTTAGACTCGGTACTCTGACTCAGTACTCAGTGCTCAATGCTCAAACTCAGCACACTCAGTACTCGGTACTCGGTACTTAGTACGCTGACTCAATACTCGGTACTCGGTACTCAGTACTGACTCAGCACTCGGTACTCGTACACTGCAGGGTTGTGCTCGACTCAAAAAAAAATTGCCGACTCGACTCATCATTCAACTTCAGAAAGCCCTGACTCAACTCTGACTCAAACAAGGAGCTGATTTTTTCCCTTGACTCGACTCATGACTCAAACGGCTCAATGAAAATATGAGTCGACTCAAACTTGACTCAAATTTTTTATTGAGTCAAGCGAGTTGACTCAAAATTGACTCAGATAAAATGTTGTTGAGCGGGGGGGGGGTGAAAAAATCCGGCAGCAGGGCCAGGGCGAAGTTGTGAAGCGGGGGGGGGGGGGGTGAACAGCTTGTTTCTAGAAAGTTGAGTTAGCTGACTCATGTTCCTAAATGTTTGACTCAACTGAATGTCAAAAGTTATTTTACTGACTCAACTCTGACTCAACTCAACGCCTTGATATTTTTGTCCGACTCAACTCTGACTCAACTCAACAGCTCAACATTTTATCCGACTCGACTCAAATCTGACTCATTTGAGTCAGAGTTGAGTCAAATTTCTGACTCAACTCATGAGTCAAGCACAACCCTGGACTCAGTGCTCCGTCTCGGTACTTAGTACGCTGTCTCAGTACTCGATACTCGGTACTCAGTACGCTGACTCAGTACTCGGTACTCGGTACTGACTCAGTGCTCAATGCACGATACTCGGTACTCACCTATACTCGGAGCAGTCGGAGGCGACGCTGACATTGCTGCGCGATCGTCTGCTGCGCAGCTGGTCGCCGCAGTTGACGACTCCCTTCCCGGTGACGGAGAAGTGGCGCAGTCGGTAGTACTCCGTATCGCCCGTCTCGGCATCGTCTCGGAGCGAGCTCTGACTTCGACACCGGCCCAGGTGGTCCGGGATCGTCAGGTAATCTGGCGGCGAGGACAGCCGGTCACTGGTCAAATTATCTGTCAGGCAGGGGTCAATATTTAGGTATATAATCTGGCGGCAAGGAGAGGTCGAGAAGATAGTCATTGATTAGATAATTTGCCCGGTATAGAAGTGGGTATTGGTCAGGTGGGTATCCTGCCGGTGCGCAGAGCTGGTTATTAAATTACTTAACCCTCGCCCGTATAGGGGGGGGGTCGAACGAACCCCCCCCCTTGGTTTTTCGCGAATAACTTGCGGAAAAATCGGCCGATCGCGACGAAACTTTCGGTACCCTCGCGTTACTCAATTTTACACCTATCCTGAAATTTTCATGACCCTGACCCTAATGACCTTTGACCTGTGAACTACTTTTCGAGACCATGTTTGGCCGGAATCGCGATTCGGCGTATGTCGGCTCGCATTAGCCGCGCGTTTGCAGTCTTTTCGTGGTTTTAAACGTTCAAACATGGGATATGATGTTGCTCCCATGCATTAGGGTGGGTGTCAAGGTCACCGGAAGGTCAGGTCAGGTCATTGACCTTTGATGACCTCGGTTCCCTTTTTCGAGTTTTACATGTTTCTAGGCCAGTTTTTGGAGCTGAATTCGAATTTAGCAACCATATGAAAATTTACGAAATAGTTTTGGTGCCTTCGTAACATGTTACGAAGCTGTCAGAGGCGGTTGCCACCTACTACGAAACTGGTTGAACTGACCTGACCTGATCCAACCTGGCCTAAATGCATGAAGACATCATCTGTGATCAAAACTAACATGATATTCGTGATCAGCACCCCGGAAAAAAACCCATAGCAGCCACGCTTTACGACTCTCTAACAGGTCCCGATTTTCCCGACTTTTGGGTCATTGACCTGACCTGGAAGGTCAACCGATGACCTAGGACCTTAAAATTGGGTATCATCGGCTTCCTCTCGTCACGGGCAATACGCTCGTTTTTTTCCGCGAAGCTCTAGCTCGATCAGGGGCGAAACGGCAAGGGTGGGTCCAACGGACTCCCACCCCCTTATACGTTCGCGGCTGGAAAAACACCAATACGGGCGAGGGTTAACCCTCGCCGGACCTATTGGTTTTCTACATACGTGCCGGCCGAGGGGTGGGGGCGGGTACGACCCCCCCCCCCCTCGCCGTTTCGCCCCTGGTGGAGCTAGCGCGTCGCTGAAAAAACGAGCGTGTGCGCCGTTACGAGACGCAGATATTGGCACCCGATTTTAAGGTCCTAGGTCAACCGGTGACCTCTGAGGTCAGGTCAAGTGCCCCAAGGTACGGTTCAGTTTTTGGTGAATAACTTCGCAAAAAACGGCCGCAGAGCCGCGATTTTGGCAGCATCGTGTTCGGCTCGCTCAGGCGCGTCGAATGATAAACTTTTTGTCCGGGTCAGGTCAACTTGGGGTGTTGACCTCAGGTCAAGGTCAGGTCAGCACCCCCAGGTCACGAAGTTGGTCGAAAGAGGTCATGTCGCATATCATTCGATTCGGCAGGTCTTCCTGAGTCCATTGGTGGCTTTCCCGACTCGCTAGCTCAATTTGATCAAGAGTTATTGACGAAAAACTAATATGAACTTGATGACGTCATAAATGACGTCACGTAAGGTCAACATTGCAAAAGTGACGCATGTAACCTTGCAAGGAGTGCATCAAAACACGATTCTGTGTGCTTGAGATAGTTGGAGATCGTTCCCGGCGCCAGAATAGCAGTTTTCATTTTTCCCCATTGACTTATAATGGTGAGGTCACGAAAATGACCTGACCTCATATGACCTTAAGGAAAAATCCGAGATATACAAGTTGTGGGACTCATAATGGATACTAGATCCTGCAAGTTTCATTTCCCTGTGACATCTCCTCTGGCAGTGAGGGCGTTGCGAAGTTGCGACTTCTGAAGACCGTGCAGAGGTTCACTTATGACGTCATAGGTCAGTGACCTGACCTGACCCAAAAATGCAGTTGGTATCAAAAGATCTGGCTTGAATCAAAGGTCAGGTATGCCAAGTTTCAGCTTTCTATCGCCAGCGTGTTCGGAGCTATCGCGAACTATGGGGGGGGGGCGGCACCCGCCCCCCCCCCCCCTCGGCCGGCGAGGGTTAAACTGGCGACGAGGAGAGATGGTCACTGGTCACTGGCCACTGGTCACTGGTCACTCGTCACCGGTCACCGGTCACTGATCAAGTAATTTGGTGGCGCGCAGAGGCAGTCATTCGTTGAATTAATGGTATGGCGCTGTTCCGGGGTCGTAAAGTGGTCTAGTCTAGGGGCTGTCAGGTGCTCTGGTGATAGTCCACGGTCCTATAAGATGATCCTTCTGTGGTCCAGGGTAGTAGAGTCGTCTAGTCTGGGGTCGTTAGGTGGTTTGCTTATCGTCGAGATCGTCGAGTGCTCTGATGATAATCTATGAAGTGCGTAGCTGGTCTATTGGCCGGATACTCGACATGTGGCCTGTCACCGGGTCATAAAGTGGCATAAGACACAAAGACCAGAATACTGACTAGCAAAGTGGCTGGAACAAAGAAAGTATATTTAAGAAAAAAACGAAAATTACAAAATTAACTTCTTTCCAGCTTAGCGCTTCGAGCTTCGCATCAACCCACGCTTGGATAATGGATCAACGTCAATAAATCAGGTATAATCTATCCACACAGGATGCGGTCAGTGTCAAAGTGACATGCACAAAACGAGCATCATCGTGATGGAATGGGCAGTCATTTGGAAAGTTTGAGTAGATCAAATTTGTATTCGTTATTATGAAAAAGGCTGAATGAAAACCAAATCAAGATGAAGCCACGATTTTTGACAAAATATGTCATCTGAATGCCCCTCCGATTTATCACTGTTCGCCTCATGAAGCACTGAATACAATTTGAATTACGTAGCAAAAAAATATAATAATGGCGCTGCGTTTAATTACAGAAGCCGTTTAATGCGATCTATGCCATCGATGTGATTGTACGAACAGTATGCGTATTTACGTGTCTTTATCACAATATCGCGTCAAGGTAGTCCCCGGCTGGTGAGTACATATGTACCTACTGCTATACGGTCGCCGCCGCGGTGACTCTATTAGTAGCGCGGTATTACCCCGGAATTGCCGTCCATATGTGGGGGTAAGGCCTGCCGCGGGCGTGCCGACTGGCCACTCCAATAAGCCCGAGTTATGAAGAGCGGCCCCACTGTGGCAGCGCTGTACCCAACTGACGCGGGGCGGAGGGCGGGCGGCGAGACGGCGCAGCGACTGTCTGTGCTGGGAGCAAATTACTGCATTGCTGAAACGGGAGGATAATGTAAGACAGATCGTCATTTTGTATATTTGTATTTAGAATCACGAGACCAATAATTTGTTCATCCTTCGGATGTCTTGATTCCTCAACAGAGGAGAAGTGTTCCGAGCCGAGTCACACGGCGCCCAAACACCGGTTGTTACACGATGTTTCGTTCTCAGTTTTTCTATCACAAGCTGACCATAGCGTGCACGGGCGGCCCAGTTCCAATCAAAGGGAGCGGTCGGCCACACAAAACATTACCTTCTCGCGCCCCCAGGGAGTGCGCAACTTGGCTGATAATAGCACCGTTCATGTCAAAATGATTGCCAGAAGGAGGGTCCAATGGCGGCTTATTGGGGACTACATAACGGATGACACGCAATGAGCTCTTATGCATAGCTGTCCTGCGTCCAGTGCCCATGCATCAAATGGATTGTGTTCTGTACAACCATGTTTGTTGTTTGCTCATTCATAGAAATGGGATATAGCCCGCTTTTCACACCTTCAGCTATGATCAAAATGGAAAAAAATATAAGTAGTTAGCTGCAAAAATCGATTTTCAATTTCGCCTCCACCAACGTATGTAGGTACGGTGTCAGGTGTGAGGAGCACGGCGCCAGTACGAGTGAGAATTCGTGTATGTAGCGTGATGGGAATATCAAAACAAAGCCTGGAAAAGGTGCACACCGCGCCTGCTAACCACCGCCGCAGTACGGACTAAGTGGCAGCTTGGTACTCGTTGCAGCACTAGGGGGACGAGTCGTAAAACGGTGCATTTCCCCCAAATAGACCCTGGAATGCGGCTGCACACTGCTGCTGGTGCTATACCGCTGACCGGCCGCTGGGGCTACCAGTGGGCAGTGACTGTGGTGACCTGCTATGTAGCCCACCTGCGAACATTGCACGTGGGCTGGCTCATTGCGTCTCCTGCCTGGTCAGATGACGCACTGTGCGGTCAATTGGTTTGGTTTGATGGCCAATTTTCGAAGACGACTGAGACCAATGGATTCTTGTTCCATATTTCCATGATCCTTGTGGACACTGGGCATAGCAGCCAATTAAAAATGACTGAAAACGATAGGTAACATTGTGAGCGCTCTTACGGAAACCAGAATTGAACAAAGATTACCAAAATTGAAAGTTCATTCACTGCATGTACGGCAGCGATTCATTCAGTATGCATTCCCAAAAGGCCTGTTGGCTGAATTATAACAAAGCTTGGTAATTGAACTTATACTGCATGACGAGTAAAGGTCATGTGTTTTTATTTTGATTTTATCATCCCCGATCAATATGCAGTGACGCTCGTCCGGAATTGGACGTTTGAAGTTAGCATTGGCTTATGCAATAATTACTTAATTTAAAAAAGTAACACAAAACTCTAATGATATTAAAACGTCAATATATTTAGAGGCAGCCAATCTGTCTTCTTTGTGGCTTGGCTTAACATGACAGGCAATTTAAAGGATCATTAGTATGTGAACTCGTCTTGAAGATGGAGCGTAATCGACTGATTGATAGCGTTCGGCGGAATCAATAAATGATACCGCTAGCAGAAGGCATGCAGTCGTGACCACCGTGTGCCTATGGGGTTGTCATCCCACCTCATTATATGAAAATCTAGTGATCGATGTATCGAGTTGCTTGGCATCAAGGTTACCCCCTCTCAATATTCCTACCTCAATGAGTGTGTGTACATTTTTCAGAGCCCCCATCAGACATCAGCAGAGAAAATGACAGCAAACAGCAGGTAAAAATTGACAGCGGATTGGAGACGGGCGTCCATATCGCCCCGAGGGCAGCCCTGGAGCGTGCCATCCCTCCCGCGCGCAGGAGCCGTGACCGACGCCCGTCCCGCGGCGGACCATGTGGGTGCGGCTGTGGCGCCGTTCAACTTGTGACGAGCACATCGATTCGCGGCGGCCGCGGCCCGTGACGCCGGCGGCGGTATACGCGGCCCGCCACCGAGTCAGTGGAGCGAGCGGCAGCGGCCATCGATCCGCGCCGTGTCAGACGGCAGCCGCACAGCGCCGCGTGTGATTTATCAGTCTGCCCCGACCCCGCAGCGAACAGGTTACACGGGCCGCGACGGCAGCGATGAGAACGGCATGTCGCCCGTCGCCGTCGACACGGCACCGGCCGACCTGTCACGGCGCCCGGGCGCCGGATTTCGTGACGCGTCGTGCCGCGCGGTAAAGCCGGTCGTAAGTGTTGCGTCAGCACCGGCGCCCCGTTAGGCTGTTTGAGGTGAGTTACCATATCAACTATCCATTACAGGGGCTCAGCTGGTGGAACAACTTCGTTCCGTGGAAGGTCCACGGACGACAGTCCCACACTGGCGCCGCTGGAGCCGCGGGCGGGACTGCGGGGCCGGCGCGGCTGGGGAGTCGTCAGGCCGCGGGTCCCGCCATGCGTCCGTCCAATGACATGGGTGGTGATGTGTGCGGGCCGCGGCCGCACCGCCTTTATTGTCAGACAATGCCCTCCGGCGCAAAGAAAGCCCAAGACATTTACAGCATATTGCGTGGCGGTTATGGCTACCTTGATGGAAATTACCCACCTAGGTAAACAAATGTCACCGTTAAATTACCTCGGTTTATCACAAAAGCGATCGTTAGTGACTATGTATTATTTTTTAGCTGTGTTAGTGTTCATCATCGTAGTGTGACTGTGCGCAGTCTTAGCATAATTCTCTTTGCATAATATCAAAAGATATTGGTTGGAGCTCTTCAGTTTTAGGGCTGGGCTCATGTCGTTTCTTGTCCTAACTATTTCACTGCTCAGTAGCAGTGACCTTCTCTTCCCTTCTTCCTACCTCCTCCTCTCAACTCTGTCATTCTGTCCCTCCATTCTCCCTTTCCCCATCCTTCCTTCCTTCCTTCCTCCCTTCCTTTTCCCTCTCTCTCACGCTGGTCCTCTTTTTCCAAAAAAAAAGAATTTTCCAAATAAGGAATTTTCCAAATAGGTAATGAATTTTCCAAATAAGGAATTTTCCAAATAAGCAATTTTATTTTCCATTTGGTTTCGATCATCAGGGCTACCACTCCTAAATTACGCTTCTTGCTGCAACAAGTAGGTACACTACAATGGTGAATTAGCGCACAAGTACATACCTATGACGACAAATTATTAAAGAGCACATGTTATTGGTAGAGTATTGAGAAAAGAATAAGGGCCATCATCAAAAGAACACATCAGTTTGCGTACGAATCTGATATTCTTGACATGCTGGCAAGATTGTATACCTACGCAGTACGCACCCCTATTGCCAGCGGCCCACTGTCAATGGTGATTTCGATACAGCGTATCAAAGCACCGTTTTCCGACAATAGGCTGAGTACCGTGACAGGTACAAATAGACTGTGCGGCGATGTGCCTCGCTGTGGACATGTCTTTGTGTGGCGGCGGACGCGAGTGTCGTTTTGTGGCCAGTCAGCCAACGACACTCGCCCTGGTCGCCGTGGTTGGTATGGTTCGGGCCGGGGGCCGAGCAGTGTTATCGCTCTAATGTCACCATCGAGCCTCCGAGTCGTCAATGTTTAACAGCCCACGGCGTGCCGCGGCTGTTACACAGTCAGCAGAACTCCACATTCGGCGCCTTCTTTGGGAGCGGCATCTACTTTTAATGAAATGTCTGCAACCGACATCGCGCCTTGGAAAAACGTAAAACACCCACCTCTGTCTTTTTTCTTTCGCCTTCGGACAAACGGTCTTCATGCTAGCGCATATGTACATAATTTGTGAATGTTGTAAAAACAATGCAAACTCAAAGTACATGCTATCCACCATCTTATCGCACCACATATAGCTTGGACAATGGGCTTTGAGTTTGTTGTGAACATGTCGATCCTTGTCCCATTTTCAGCCAAGACACGTGCTCTGCACACATACGTGTTCACAAGTGACTTCCTTGCCGTCCAGGCGAATGTTTTGCTCGGTGTGGGGCACACAATTGTTGAATCACTCGGAAGAAAGTGTCGACTGTCGAGAGTGATTCCATCGCGGATGGCCTTCGCTATCATTTAGGGCTGAACATTCTCTGGCCTCACTCCTGTCCTCAAAAGTCACTTTAACTTTGATTAGTCTCTGATTTGATAGCTTTGGTTCAGCAACGTCAGGAGAATCTAATGGTGCGCTCACACTCTCACATCTTCACAACTCCACTCGGTCCTTCCTCCAGGGGCCATGCGGTCAGTTGGAGACAGTTGGAGACGGTCAGTCAGACGGTCATGTGGCTTTCTTGCTCGCGCCGCAGCTCGAAACTCGGTCAGCTAAACCTTGCTTGCTTTCCATCACCATTAGTATAGTCCTGCGAATCGTTCTGGACCGCGCACCCGGCGTGCTGCGGGCGACGGTGCCACGAAGCCTGCTGGTATAGTCTGGGCAATGCGCCGACGGCACGACCATCGTCTTCTCGGTGGCAGGCGGCAGCGGTGGCCGTCTCTACAGAAGGCTCAAAGAGAATGACGGATATCAAGGCTAAGATATCGCTTAGTTTGTGTGGCTTGGTATTCACACAAGAAAGGCGAGTCTTCCGAGTAAGTGGCATGCTTTTTCTTGCCTTTTTGCCCAAGACTATAGCGCTTCAGCATGGTTGTTCTCAGATCCGTTTCTGTGGGTGATCGGCATGCTGAGCGGAAGCAGCCCTGATTATAAATGGGCTCCTTCGATCTGGAGCCAGATCGTTGCGTGAACGGTTCATTTTTCCGTCAATAATAGATGGCTTTAAATTAAATTATACAGCCTGTCATTGTTGCTGTTAAAAACTAGCTCGATTTTTTTTTTTAAACACATACGAGTATAGTCGAGACCCCGGGTCTGGGCTGATCAGAGTTTAAATCACGCGAGTCCCGAAGTGACCTCTAGCGTCGTCCGATCGGTTGATTCCGGGTAAAGGGAGACTTTTGACGCTAAAGTTTAGCGTGGTCATAAAAACGGACAAGATCCGTTCCACTCAACTGACTCCAACTGCCCGACACTGCCTCCATCAGCCGCCTTATCGTCAGGACCCAGGAGTCTCATTTATCGAGCGCCAGAACGAACCACACCCGCCCGCTCACCGCCGCCAGCTCGATGATCTACTAAACTGAACTGCCGTACCGAGAGTGATTGACTTTGATGAAGCCGTTTAACTTGATGTCCGCTATGCGAACTTCGCTGTGATAACAGTGCAGACGTGCCCCTGTGTATGCCTCACCTGCTTTGCGCGGCGCGCGGCACGACTGTGACCGGGAGTGGTGCGGCCCTTCCAGGCGGCGGTTGCCCCTCTCGGGCGGAGTGCCCGCCCTCAGGTGACCTCCAGGCGAGGTCCAGCCGCGGGTGGGCGATCCGCCGCCGTCCGACAGGTCCACGTGCAGGTCAGGCGTGCTGCGGGCGCCCTCCGAGGCGGCCAGCGACGGCCGGCCCACCCGCGAGCACCGGCGCACCTGGATCTGCACCAGCGAGGTGGGCGGCTGGTCGGCGGACGTCGCGCCCGACGGCGAGAGGCTGTAGGGCGCCGCGCCGGCCGGCCGCTGCCGGCGGCGCCGCAGCCGCCGCTGGCGCCGCCGCCGGCCCCTCTCGCTGGTCTCGTCTCCTGAGTCGCTGGAGCCGACCACAAGCGGCACCCGGTCGGCGGAGGTCATGGCCAGGTCAGCCCAGCAGCTGGGCTCGCCGGCGCAGCAGCCAGAGCGCAGCAGCCGGCGGGGCTCCAGGTTCATCGGAGCCGCCGGCCCCGAGCACAGCGTCTGCAGAGACAGCGGCAGATAGTCAGAGGACTGGCACAGCGTCTGCCGAGACAGAAGCAGTCAACAGTCAGCGGCACAGACAGTCAGCGGCCCGGCACAGCGGCGATACAAACAACAGTCAGCGGCCGGGCACAGCGTCTGCCGAGACAGCGGCAGACAACAGTGAGAGGACTGGCACAGCGTCTGCCGAGACAGAAGCAGTCAACAGTCAGCGGTACAGACACTCTGTGTCCAGACAACAGAGAGCGACCGCCGGGCACAGCGTCTGCAGACAGCGGCAGTCAACCGTCAGCGGACTGGCACAGCGTCTGCAGAGACAGCGGCAGTCAACAGTCAGCAGCCGAGCACAGCGTCTGCCGAGACAGCGGCAGACAACAGTCAGAGGACTGGCACAGCGTCTGCCGAGACAGCGGCAGTCAACCGTCAGCGATACGGACAACAGTCAGAGGCCTGTCGCAGCGTCTGTAGACAGCGACACAGACGACAGACAGCTGGCACATAGTTACAACCACAGTCAGAGGACGGTCACAGCGTCTGCAGCCAGCAGACAACACTCAGCGGGCACAAAGTCTTCAGACAGCGACATTGACAAGGCAACCGGATGAACTGTTAACCCGGCAGTTGCTGGGGTATTTCGCCACCCACCGTTTGCTGGGGGGGGGGGGGGCGTTAAACGCCCCCAGCCGATAACTCGAGAACCAATAGGCGCAGCGAAACGCACGAGGCGGCAAACGAAAGAACGCGACGAGACGCTTCAGATGAGTACTTTAAAGTTGAATTTTGAGGTCACAGGTCGGGTCAAGGTCAGGTCAAACACCTGAAATCGGGCTTTCAGTAGCATGGACTTCAGGACTTCGCAATGGGCGCCTCTCGTCATAAACTCTGTCAAAACGGTGCACAATCCATCATATAAGGCCTACAAGAGTGTCAGCTCCATGTAGGGGTCAGTCAAGCATAGGTCAGGGTCAAGGTCAGGTCAACCGGGTAGGCACATATCCCCGAAAATCAAAACTGATATTCGCAGCCCGTGACACATGTTTTATGGGTAATTCGGGGCGTAGAACACGATGGTGACATTCATTTTATCATATGTGTACGTGTTTGGCTCAAAAAGTTCAATTTAAGAAATGCATGTATCATGGTCGTCAAGTAGTCACGAGAGATTGCCAAGTTTCAGTTCAAGAATTTGGGAAATGCGGAACGATAATCAATAATCGAAGATAGCCATTTGATTGTTCATGGTATTGGCAGTCTAATGGTGTTTACGGCATGTCTGTATGTCTATTCTGTGATTTTATATGATTTTTTGAACATATGCCGTTTTTGGTCGAAAACTCAGAAATCATGACGTCACTAAAACCTCGATATCTCAAAATTTTTCCGACCGATTTTTTTGAAACTTCGTCACAATAAACTTCAATCAATTCCCTACAGGTACCCAAAATTTGGCGCGCCTGCGGCGCGCCGTTTTTATGCTATGGCCCGGCGAAAAAAGTGGGGGCGTTTAACGCCCCCCCCCCCCCCAGCAACTCGCGGGTTAACAGTGACAGACTCGTGAGTTAAAAACGGGACGGAGAGCGAAAGAATCATTAGGGAAAGGAGGTGCAACTGTTGATGTAGTATGATTTCACGACCTCCGTCTTGTCTCCCTCTCTCTCTCTCTCTCTCTCTCTCTCTCTCTCTCTCTCTCTCTCTCTCTCTCTCTCTCTCTCTCTCTCTCTCTCTCTCTCTCTCTCTCTAAATATCTCTACCTCTCACTCTCACTCTCACTCTCCCTCACCATTTTCTCTCTCTCTCTTTCGCGCTCTCTCTCTCTCTCTCTCTCTCTCTCTCTCTGTCTCTCTCTCTCTCTCTCTCTCTCTTCCTCCCTCTTTCTCTCTCTCTCTCTCTCTTACTTCCTCCCTCTCTCTCTCTCTCTCTCTCTCTCTCTCTCTCTCTCTCTCTCTCTCTCTCTCTCTCTCTCTCTCTCTCTCTCTCTCCCTCTCTAAATCTCTCTAAATCTCTCTACCTCTCACTCTCACTCTCCCTCTCCCTCACCCTTCTCTCTCTCTTTCGCTCTCTCTCTCTCCCTCCCTCTCTCTCTCTCTCTCTCTCTCTCTCTCTCTCTCTCTCTCTCTCTCTCTCTCTCTCTCTCTCTCTCTCTCCCTACATTTCGCTCATCATCAATCACGTTTCTCAGCTGTTTTTCTCTGACGGGCCTTCCGACCTCCCGTTGGATGCTAACACCAGCGAACAATACTGGTCATTAGAGACGAAAGCTCGCTAACTTCTGTAGGAACCGTCATTTTTGCAAAAGACTTCTTAATGGGAACCTCCCTCGGGCATCCCAGAGCGGAGGATTCAGACGCTGATGACGTCGCTGTCAGACGTTTTTTTCCCAAACGGTTTGAAAGCTGTAAAATGTGCCACGGCTATGACCTTAGTGGCCTGAACGTCGAGCTCATAGGTGGGGCAGGGAGCGCCGGGATCATCGGCCGACCGATCGATAACGCCAATGGGAGATTACTGGAATCACAAGTAATTAGAGGTGGTTTTGGGAAGTCGTTCCCTGACGACTCCTAATCGTCCTAAGTGATTTATCAAATGACGGGACTGACTTCCAGAAATATGCACATCAATATCATGTTTGAAAAATGATAATTTACGCTGTGAACTCAAAATGGGAAAAAGACAATATTTGATGCTATACATGATATCATTTTTTTTCATTATACCTATGCCTAATTTGTGTAACTAAAATGAAAAAGAAATATTTTTAGTCGTAATATTTAAATGGTAAATTACAAAATAAAAATAATGAAAAACCGACGCCTGAGATGTAAGTAATGTCATGAGTATGACAGACCAGCCAGCGCCCACGCACACCAGTCCAGTCGCCGCAGGACGGCGGCCATCGGCTCGGCTGGGGCTCCTCAGCAGCTCGTTCAATCTAACCCTCCCCTCCCGGGGTCCATCGCGGCCGACGGCCGACGTGCAGCGGCGGACGGCCGACGTGCAGCGGCGCCCGAAACTGTCCATGGACGGGCGCAGCCGGCAATTTCCGGGCGTGCTCCGTGCTTCACGATCCCCTCGCTGGTCACAGCGTCGGCGGCACCATCCGCGTCAGCCCGAATTCCTCCGACGGCCGATCTGCGCGCCAAATTCCCGCCGCGGGGGGCGATCGGCGCGCCAAATTCCGCCAATCGATGGCCGCCATCGGGCGCGCGAAAATTTCATTCCGGCGTTAAACGAGTGTGGCGCTAAAAACTTGGCGTCGGTCCGCGGCCGGCGCCCGGTAAATGGACCTGGTAAATGAGCCCGGTGCGGCGCAGACGACGGGATCGGCAGAGGACGGTAAACACGGCGGCTCTCTCCAGTTTCCAATTAACGGGGGATTTTTCGGAAGGACCTCTTTCGGCTCTTCGTTACCTGAAGATTACGAGCAAATGTGGTAGTGAAATAGAAAGCGATTATAGTCTCTACTTCCAGTGTGTTTTTTCTCTTCAGCGTGCAGAAAATGTGTCTCGCTATAATAGCTCTAAAAATGTTTCGGCATTCCATCCATAATTTTTAGAACAAGCGCTGTTGAGATGCTTCAGCCTTCAATTCATAACCAGAAGTTAAGAGACGCCGTTGAGGTTCACAGTCTGACCATATCAACATCTACAGCCAACAGGGGCTATAAGTTCCCCCAGCCAGGGGAGGCGATTTAACATTGACCTAAAAGAAGACCTTACACCCCAGAATGGCAACAGAGATCGTCCAAGGAGCTCGTCGCTAAAACCGGCATCCCGAAGCCGTATAAACGCCTACCGGGCGCGCTTTTAGCGTGCTTCAACTAAGATATCTAGAGAGAAATTTGTTGCGAGGAACTCCTCAGCTCTTCAAAGCGACTTGAAGCCAACATCAACAAAAGAAGTCAGCTCGCCAGGGCGCTTTGTCCGACTTTTTTCTAGGTATTGTTTACCGTGGCTCCCCGATCGAAGCCGACGGCCGGGCCTCTCAAAACTGCTCACAGGCCGGAGTGCGGGCTGTGTTTTTAGTCGATCCGGCCCGATCCGGCCCGGTCCAACCCGGATCTGGACCTGGGAGTCACTCTGGCAGAGAGGGAGGGGGCGGTCGATCGGGAAGGTCGGGCGCACCGGGCTGGTCGGCGGGAGGAAGGGGGAGGAGAGGGGGACCGGCCGGCTGGGGAAGAAGGGAGGAGGAAGCCAGCAGATTGGAAAGGCTCCTCTCGCCATCACCGGCTACCCATCGACACGTCATCGATTTAACCGGCGGCGGTGGCTGTCCTGACGTGACCCCAATGGGCTGGGTCCGACCGGACCTCATGGACGGGGTATGGCGGTGCGGTGGAGAGAGGGTTTGACCGGACCTCATGGACGGGGTATATGGCGGTGCGGCGGGGAGAGGTGTTTGACCAGACCTCGTGGACGGGGTATGGCGGTATAGGGCAGTGGAGAGAGGGTTTGACCAGACCTCATGGACGGGGTATGGCGGTGCGGCGGAGGGAGGTGTTTGACCATGGACAGGGGTACAACGGTGCACTGTGCAGTGTTTGACCAGACTTCATGAGGCCGGTGTACCGGTGGAGGGTGTGTTAGATCAGACCCAATGGGATTACGACGAATCGCAGTTAAAAAATCAGAGCAAAATGCAGTTATCGACTTTTGATTTCCATTGCGTATCGTCGATTTTCGGCTAAGATATGATACGATGCAAATACATTTCATTTTTACCAGTACAACTTTTCTACAAAAAGCGTGAGAAAAAAATAATCTGCTATTTTTTTTCAATTTAAAACACTACTTGCAAGTCAGTAGGGACAGCAGGCATGTAGGCAGGTCCAGATGCGTATTGTGCAATTTAGGCAAGTAACTTGACAGATCTAACTACACATTGCATTTACTCGGCGAAACATCAAACGGGTAGCTGGAAGCAGAGTATTATCCCGAAGAAAAAGGCAAATAGAAAAAAGCCGAACAAACGAATCTGGTTGGGTATTCCAGCAGTAAGTTCTCTGTGTTGGGCCGAGCAGGACCACCTACAAAAATACAAAGATG